CTAAACAAACTCGGATCGTAAAATCGGATCGTAAAATCGTAAAATCGTAAGGAATTTTAAAATACATAAAAAAAAATTCATGCTTCAAATAATTCAGTTCTACAATACTGAAATGACATTCAATTCAATCAAATTCAAGAATTTTTAGTCCAATTTTCACCCCATTAATTTATTCCAATTAATTTAGTCCTATAATACTGAAATGGCATTAAATTCAGTCCAATTCAACATTTTTCAATCCAATTTTCATCTCATTAATTTAATTCAATTCAGTCCTATAATATTGAAATGACATTCAATTTAGTCCAATTCAACAGTTTTCAGTTCAATTTTCACCCGAGTAATATTTAGTCCAATTTAGTCAAGATATATAGTATATACTGTGGCATTCAATTCAACAATTTTCTCACCCGATCAATTCCATTCAATTCAACATTATACATATACAAATTACAGGACTGGGCAAAATGAATTACAGGGCAAAATACAAATCTATTAGAAGATTTTGAAGGCAAAATGAACAGGGCAAAATGCAAATCTTTATTACCGGACAATTAAACTCAACACTTAACAGGGTAAAATACAAATCTATAACAGGGGCAAAATCTACTACTGCAGTGATGATGATGAAGGCAAAATGAACTTACGGTGTCGCCCGCTGCTGTTGAAGATGATGATGATGAGCTAAACGGCTGCTTGTGAAGAGGCCCGATGTCGCCTGCTGCTGTTGAAGATGGGAAAGAAAGGAGATCGTTGCCGGCGTGCTGCTGTTAATAAAGATTGCAGAGGAAGCCCGAAGCCGTGAGCTGTTGAGGAGATTGTCGTCGGCCCGTCGCTGTTAAAATCATGATAAACAGAAAAGGAAGTAATGTTCAACCTCATATTTTGTGAGAAAAAACGTGGGAAAATACATTCCTAATTTATCAGGTGAATAAAGAAATACAGAGGAACAATTACCAAATAATAGAAATGGACAATACCAAATAAATAAAGAAATGCAGAGGAATGAATACTGAATAATGGAAAAGCTTTTACAAGAAGCACATGAAGAATTAAAACCTTAATTTCAATTTTTATTCAAGAAGGCAGAAGCACTTCAATTTCAGAGACTGCAGTAGAGGTCTTTAAACATACCAATCTTGGTTCATGTGTTGTCGCGACCGTGAGCACTAAGGAAAAAGAAGGAGTAAAAACTGGAGTCATTGGACCGTAAGCACTGTCATTGACCGCTTTTATGGAGGATGGAGATCGCTGTCGCCGTTGTTATGGTTGCCGATTAGGGACTTGTTCAGCTGGGAAACTTGGGAAGAGTATTTTGCGCTTTGTGATTTGTGAAGATTGAAGACAATGAATTAATTCACTGAAGTGAAGAGAGTCACGTGAGTGACTGTGCAAAAAAAATGCAATAGGTGCTTGACAGCTGGACAAGAGAGGAGGATTTTATTTCAGCACCTCATTTTGGCATAATCGCAAAATCGGTCCTGAAATCGTGATTTTGCGCGATTTCGAAGAAGATGATGAGAACTTTGAGATGGAATATTAATGTAACGATTAAACAATGATAATAACAAATGTCAAGGTTAGAGGTTCCACTAATGGTATATCAAACAAGTATAGTATAAACTCTTATTATTGAATTGGAAACCACACACAAAGGAGGTTCCAATCAGATTATATATTGTTAACATGATTACATTAGTCATCTTATTCAATTAATGCTAATACTTGTAAATCTCGTCAAGCATTCATGATTATAACTTATGTTAACAACAAATCAAGTTCCTTTCATAGCTCAGGTGTCGGTTATACCATACATTATGGGCTATGAAAGTGCCAAGCATTTGTTGTACCAAGTGTTATACAACATAAATCAAGATTAGTCATTTAACAAGCAAAGTATTAAAGAGTGAACAAGATAGCAAATATAAAACATGTTAGTATCAAACATTAAAGTCCATATTAAGTTTACATTATACTTATTCTTACACCATTAGTGTAACCTTTTCACCTTGACATAATTAACTTAGCTAGACATAATGAAAGAAAGCAAAATAGATAAACAAAATAAGAACATAAAAGTTAACTAAGTAAAGGAAAGGAAATGAAAGGCATAAACTTAATATTAATGAAAACAAAGCATAAAAAATACAAAGAGAGAAAGGAAGAGCATGATCTTGATCTGGAAATCAAGATGCCTAAATGCATGGCAAATGCCTCCTTTTATAGGCCAAAAATGGGAACTATTGATTTGATGACTAATTGATAAGTGGGTGACCAACTTTTGACTTGGTGACAATCCTTATCTTCTCTTGTCTGCCCAAAACGTCATTGATAACGTCAAAATTGGAGCCAGTTGTAAACATGAAAGTTGTAGGCAATTGTCTCAGCTTTCTTGTGTAAAAATTTCAGCTCATTTGGACTTCTAGAACTCCAGATATGGCCAAAATACCGAATAGTGCTCGGGCTGGAAGACAGATTCGGGCTTCTTTGTTGTTGCTACAATTTGGACTTGATAATGGCCTTTTTAGATCTTGGGCTCCATATGAAAGTTGTAGGCCTATGTCTTACCTTTCCATCCATATAAATTGGACCTAAATCTGAGATCTGTAGCTCCAGATATGACCCAATTACCGAACAGTGTTCCGGTTTGGATTGCACCGACATCTCTTTTCTAAGTTTGGCCATCTCTTTATCCTTGCAATTTAAGTTCTTCAAGTCATCAATCAATCCTTTCATTTATGTGATAGGCCTGCATTAAAAATAGACATTTACCATAAATTATAGGTATCTTATATTATTAGATACATTATTATAAAACATATTTTAGTTAAGGAGTTATTGATACTTCAAGTGCAAAATGATGATATAAAACCATGATAAAAATGCACTTTTAAGTACTAATCACACCCCCCAACCAGCTTATTACTAGTCCCTAGTAATCAAAGCGTTAAAATAGAAAACAAATTTGCAAATTTCACAAAGCAAGGTATTCATCATTTAACTTCCATTAGTCTATCCAGATAAACAAACTCTCATTAAATTTATATATCTGCTCAATACCTCTTAACAAGATATTAATAAACCTTTCTTTTGTGCTCAATGTATCAACACATAATTATGGGGCTTTTCTTGGAAGAAAACAAAATTTTTGTTCTAATGTTTAAGGTTAACTTCCTTGGGTTGGGATTACTATTTTTGTCTTTTTTTTTTTTTTTAACTCTATATACATATACTTTAAAAACATCATGCATCTTTAACCCATGTAATGAGCTTTCAGCTAATGACTCCCAGACCAGTTGGTATTAGGGCATTAGGTGTTAAGACACCCCTACGAGCTTAGTAACTCGGGTCGCAGATACTGATATGTAGATAGTGCAATGTTTGATTCCCTTAAGCTTTTCTCCTCAACCCATGTAACAAGCGTTGGGCCAATAGCTCCCAAGTCAGTTGACTTTAGGGTATTAGGTGTTAAAACACCCCTTCGGGCTTAATTGCTTAGGTTAGGGAGGCTACGAAACCAAACTTATCTACATTTTTATTATCATCATTTTTTTTTTCTTTTTTTTTTTTTTTTTTTTTTTTTTTTTTTTTTTTTTTTTTTTTTTTTTTTTTTTTTTTCTTTTTAATTATATACAATCCCTTTCCCTTAGTTGTTACCTTTAACAAAAGAACATAAATAATGTAATAATCCAATATGCAACCCACAATCATATGTTAAAGTGTGTGTGTGTAAATTAAGGTTTAAGAATACATGTTAAATAAGTATATGAGCAGAATTAAGTGGTAACAATACGAGAGTTTGTAAACCTGAATATTTCAGGAAGTATTATAATAGACCTTGTTAAGAATGGTTACTAAGATGCGTCTCAAGAGTCACTTTAACAAAAGAACTCCTTTACTCTGCCATCCTAGTAACAACAATTATGCACATGCTTTATGAAATGAAAAACAATTTTTTTTTTATCAACTACTACCCTCTCCCCCCAACCAAAACGAGACATTGTCCTCAATGTTCTAAGGTAGAAAGATAGAGTATAGAAGATATCACCTGAAATAACGAACACTGACAAAACCTGAAACACTCTAAAACAAAAATAAGAAATAACAAAACACAATAATAAAACCAAAAGACACAAAAATTCACAAATGAAGGCTCAAATCCAATGTAAGCTTTTTACGGCTTCCCGTAGATGACCAATTTATGCGACTCATGGAAGGATCAATCACAGGAATAAAAGATTGTAGTTGGTCAATCAATTGTTCAGCAGTAGTAGCAGAGATTATGATTTGTCGTGCAGAAGATGTTAGAATTTCTTTGTCCTCCGCATGATCAAGAAAAGACAACAACTTATCATAATAACCATTTACATTTAACAAACCTATGAGTTTATGGTGAATGTGCAATTGAGCCCAAGCGGAAATATGAAAGATCTCTTCCAATGTGCCTAGACCCCCTGGTAAAGCAATGAAGGCATCAACATGGTTAAACATTGCATTCATTCGAGCTGACATTATGGAGACCTGAAGTTCCTCTCCAATTGTTTTTCCAATGATGTCCCCTTGTGCGAAAGCTTCAGGGACGACTCCTAAAACTTGACTACCTCCTAAAAAGGCAGCTATTGACACACCTCCCATTAACCCAAGACTGCCTCCCCCATACACTAAATGAATCTTTCTCTCAGCTAGCACCTGACCAAAATGATTTGCTGATTCTAAAAACTCCTTTTCTTTCCCAAGACTAGATCCACCAAAAACACAAATATTTCTTATTTGATGACTTGAGGAACTTGCCATTTCTACACACTTCTGTATTTGTTGAATGTATGGGTTGAGTAGAAATGAAAGGAAGGAAAAGAGGGTTTTATAGATGAGAAAGTAGAAAGGCAATCATAACATCTATATGTAGGCCAGCTAGAGTCTCACACACTCTCTCTCTCTTTTTATTTATTTATTTATTTACTTTTGAAAAAAAAAACATGTGTATGTACAGGTAGTTGTGATTGTGGCTCACATCTTCCCTTGGTTTTACGTCCAAGAACAGCTTAAACGCCCTCTATGGGTCGGGGATATGCTTCCCATCCAGTTTTCTTAAAAACTGGCAAACAGGGTCTTTTTTAGTCAGATTCCCAAGACTAAGTCGATCATGTTCTTTATGAAATAGTGGCTATAAATCATGAATTGCACGATGCACATCTCCACTAGGATGCGTCTCAAGAGTCAATAGAAGATTATCTAAAGACTCCTTACTCAGGCCATCCTTAATGAATTGTATTTTATCTTTACGGTTACTCAGGCCATCCTTAATGAATTGTATTTTATCTTCACGGTTTATAGATACCATTCCTAAAGAACGACATTGTGTATTACAAGTCCATCTAGCACATCGATGATAGACATCCAGTCGTTTTGCACGACGCTTCTTTGCAAAAGTGCTTTTACCTGTTCCAGGCATGTGTGAAATGAAGAAGTTAGAGGACTCACCTGATAATCGGACCTTTGCTTCAATCAACCAGCGAATATCTTCAGGAATTCCATGATTCATTAACAATCTCAATCTTGCACATCTAGCACGGTAAATTTTTGTAATCGCATTCTGAGGCAGAGCGGGAAAATACTTTTTCAATTTTTCAAGATTAGTGTCCATTTTCAAATGAGAATTGGAAGAGAGATTCAAAGAATTGCACAGATATATACACAGATATCAATAATTGTGGGAAACTGAAAGAACCGACTTAAGTCACGGAGTACCGTTATCCGTCATTTGACCGGGGTGAAAGAAACTTGCAAAAATCACTCAAAAAGAAACAAAAATAAAATAAAATAAAATCAATATTTATATAAGAAAAAAAAATAAAATAAAATAAAATCAATATTTATATAAGAAACAAAAATAAAATAAAATAAAATCAATCTTTATATACAGGATCACCCAATTCAATAGAGTTATGTTCAACTGAAAAATTGTCAAAGTAAACTTTCAGACGATGTCCATTTACCTTGAAAACATTGCCATTCTTTGGATTCTCAATGTCATAGGCCCCATATGGATACACATGTTTCACAATAAAAGGACCGCTCCATCTTGATCTTAATTTTCCAGGAAATAAATGCAGTCGAGAATTATAAAGCAAGACTTTTTGACCAACATTGAAGGTTTTTCTCTGTATTTTCTTGTCATGAAATTCTTTTATTCTTGCTTATGAATTCTTGAATTTTCATATGCATCATTTCTTA